AACTCAGAGCCATGTGATTACTTATCAAAACAATGGTATAGAGCAGGGGTCTTCAAACTTGGCCCTTTTGTGACTTGTGGACTTCAACTCTCAGCACCCTGGCTGAGGAATTCTGGGAGTTGAAGTCCACAAGTCATAAAAGGGCCAAGTTTGAAGACCTCTGGTATAAAGGTTCCTGCTTGGGCAGAGAGATTGGATTAGAAGACCTCCAAGGTCCCTTCCAGCTCTTCCGTTATTCTGTTATTCAATTGCTGCAACCCCAGATGAAGAACAGCTGTATAATTACATCTTCTTTTTTTCTCCCCTCTCTCTTACACAAATCACCCCAAACTCTCACACGGGAAGCGACACCCTGAATTAAAGGAAAAAAAACCCCACAGTGTATCTGCTAACAAAATACACCACTGTTTTGGACACATTGGAGGAATATGTTCTTGTTATTCTTACAATGGCTGAGAGATGTGTAGTTGCTAATTTTAGCATCGCTTGGATTGGGGAATTTCAAAGTCCACAGAGATAGGGATCCTGGCAGATAAATGTTCTATCATAGGAGCTCCCCCGGCAGTTTATTTCTAGACCAGACCTATGTAAGTTATATGCAGGGTACAATTTGCTACAGAGTGATCTCCTTCCGAGGAAAGTACAGGGACTCCTCATCTTACAACAGTTCGCTCAGTGACCGTTTGAAGTTACAGTGGCACTGAAAAAAAAGGGCCTTATGAAGATTTTTCACACTTACGACTGTTGTAGCATCCCCATAGTCATGTGATCAAAATTCAGACACTTGACAGCTGACTCATATTTATGACGGTTGCCCTGTCCCGGGGTCACGTGATCTCTTCTGCAACCCTCTGGCAAACAAAGTCAATAGGGAAGCCAGATTCATTTAATGACCGTGTTACTAACTTAACAGCTGCAGGGATTCACTTAATAATAATAATAATAATAATAATAATAATAATAATAATAATAATAATAATAATAATAATAATAATAATAATAATAAGGTTGGAAGGGACCTTGGAGGTCATCTAGTCCAACCCCCTGCTCAGGCAGGAAACCCTATACCATTTCGGACAAATGGCTGTCCAGTCTCTTCTTAAAAACCTCCAGTGTTGGAGCATTCACCGCTTCTGGAGGCAGGTTGTTCCACTGGTTAATTGTTCTGACTGTCAAGAAGTTTCTCCTTAGTTCTAGGTTGCTTCTCTCCTTGATTAGTTTCCACCCGTTGCTTTTTGTCCTGCCTTCAGGCGCTTTGGAGAATAGCTTGACTCCCTCTTCTTTGGTGCAGCCCCTGAGATACTGGAACACCCTCGTCCTTCTCTTAATTAAACTAGACATACCCAATTCCAGCAGCCGTTCCTTATATGTTTTAGCCTCCAGTCCCCTAATCATCTTTGTTGCTCTTCTCTGCACTCTTTCTAGAGTCTCAGCATCTTTTTTATATCATGGTGACCAAAACTGGATGCAGTATTCCAAGGTCGTAAAATGGGGCAAAATTCACTTAGCAACTGCCTCGCTTAGCGAGGAAAATTTGTGATTGTAAGTCACGTGGCTGCACGTGGCTGGTGAGGTCAACAAAAGGCTTCATCAATGTCTTTCATCATTCTACTGAATTCCGTACATCTCCAACTGTATATGGACTGGAGAAGGCCCTAGAAATCCCTAAGAAGAGATACTGCAAGTTGTTGGGTTTACCATTTTCCTGGGTTGATAAAACATAGAACATAGAATCACAGGGCTAGAAAGGACCTTAGATGTCTTCTAGTCCAGAGGGACCGGTTCCATGGAGAGAGGTTTTTCCGTGGACCGGAGAGTGCGTGGTTCTGTGTGCTGCCTGCATCCCGCGGAGGGGGCTTTACTTGTTTGTGCGGACCGGTTGCTGGCATGCCACGGCCTGGTACTGGTCCATGGACCGGGGGTTGGGGACCCCTCTTCTAGTCCATCCCCCTGCTCAAGGCAGGAGACCTAATATCATCCGGGTCAAATGGCTGTCCAGTTTATTTTTTGAAAATTTCCAGTGATGGGGCACCTACAATGTCTGGAGGCAAAACCGTTCCACTGATTGTTTTCACTGTCAGAAAATGTCTTCTTACATCTAGATTGGATCCCTCTTTAAGCATCTCTTGAAGCATTTTATCGCTCATATTCTCAGACCAAATCCTTGCTCGATCTGCGTAGGTTTCCTGTAACGTTGCCAGCATCATAGTTTACATTGGTGCCTAATGAAAATACAACCTAACAGTTAGGATGACAACAGAATTTCCTGCCTACTAACCTTGAAGAAAGCTAGTTTGGGGGTAGTGGTTAATGGCATTAGACTGGGAATTTGAATCCTGCCTTACATAGGAAGCTAATTGAGTGACTTTGGGCCAGTCACTCTCTCTCAGCCCTCGGAAAGAGGCAAGGCCATCCCACTTTTGAAAATCTTGCCAGGAAAACTGCGTAGACTTGTTCATGAATCTAGACCAACTCAAAGGCAAAGTAAGAGGTAGTTTGGTGTTGAACTTAAGGACATACCAGGTTAGAGACCTGGAGACCATGAGATCATGTTCCACCTTAAGCACAAAGCTAGCTGGGTGACCTTGAGCCAGTCACTTTCTCTCAGCCCTAGGAAGGAGGCAATGGCTAATAGCTGCCAGAAGTGTTGCAAAACAACAGCAAGAACTTGTCCAGGAAGTTGTCAAATTAAGACTCATTTGAAGGCACCAAAACAAAAAAACACCATACCCCCCCTTCTCAAAGTTGTATTTGTTGGCTTGCATTTCTTCTACCCTCCCATCAAAAATCACTTTCTATTCATCCCCCAAATTAACACGTTTTGCTGAAGATTCTTCTCCAACTTCTGCAATCATGTCTTTGGCCATCATCTTTACCACACTTATCCATTCTTGGGTGACCTCCAGAAGCTAAGCAAGGCTGGACATGGATGGGATACCACCTGAAAATCCCAGGTCCGTACCTCAGTCTCAGATGTTGAAACAAAATTCTCAGGAGAAGGCAGAAATAAAAAATTTTGTATTGTTGAAATGGACATTAGATTTGTTATGTTGGTGCTGTAAGAATTCTGAAGGTCATATAATCTGATCTAGTCCAGCTGCTACCTCATTTTGGTTATACTAGACAAGTAAATAAAGTTTCAGGAAGAAATATTATCTTTATATATTCCTGAAATGTGGAATTTGTTATCTCGTGAAAACCTTTGGCTCTATCAGCCTCAGGCAAGGCCAACAGGATAATTTTACATAACCAGAAAGAAACTTCATTTCTTTTAAGGATTGGATCCAGGATATATTTAAGTTTCTATACTCTTAAAAAATGAGAAAATGGATCAATATGTTTCTTTAGTTCTAGATTTAATGATAAGATTGGCTTAACTTTGTTATCTTTAATTGGTTTAACTTTATTATCTGTATTTATTATTTTCTCTTTTCATTTTTAATTTCCTGGTTGGGGGGGAGATCAGTTCAATTATACGTTTTTGTTTTTTTAATAGGGACTAGCTGGGAAATCGGTGTCTACTAAAATCTATTTCAACTACATGGACTCTTCATTCCAATCCTGATACTAGCATTCATGTAGATGAATATACATCAATCTTGTAGAATCTGTTTATTGGACCAGAAGAAGCCACACTTTCCAAAATGGGCTTGGCTCCTGCATTTTGAAGTGTCAGCAGAAACTATTTTGGGCATGGTAGTTATATGTTTGGACCAGAATCTTTTGGCTGGAAAGCAGGTCTTCATTTTGCAACCCAAATTTGTAAATCTCATAGGGCAAAAGCAGGCAGGATTTGCTTTCCTTGTTTTTGGCACACACACACCCTCCAAAGGACCAACTGTGCATCAGTTGCCATTAGCACTTGTATCATGCACTAGAAGATACATCTGAGACTTAAGCTTAAGCAGGAATTCCATCATCCATAAATTATAAGCTTTTAATAAATGCATATCCAGAAATTCACCAAGGAAACCAATATAAACTGTCCCAGACTTGGAAAACATAAGTGAAAATGCTTAGTATTGGGATATTTTTTAGTGTTATGTAAAGGTGTCTTATCAGTTTGCATATATTTGCATGCATGAGAGTTGGCTGCATGAAACATCACAGCTGGTGCCTGTGCAACTCCTAAGGATAAGCAAAACCTGGCAGAAATTTTTAATATCCCAATTTTTTTAGGTGAGATTCTCCACATCCTGTGACTCCTTCCATGAATCCCAAAGCAATCCTGCTGCTTTGAGAAGCTGGAGGGCAACATTAGGTTGATCTAGGCCTCCAGAAGATCCTATTTTAAAAAGTCAAAGGAAAGATAAGAAAAAGAAAGAAAAAAAGGAAATTATAGAATTGTGACTTTCACTCTTCTTTCCTTCTTAAGAAGAGACTAGACAGTCACTTGTCTGAGATGGTATAGGTTGTCCTGCTTGAGCAGGGGGGCTGGACTAGAAGACCTCCAAGCTCCCTTCCAGCTCTGTTCTATTCCATGGAATAGTTACCTTCTTAATCTTTCCCCTCCCTCTTTTTATTTGCCTTTGGCAAACATGTTCAAATCCTTCTTTTCTTGGCTGTCAGATCAGATCACTGGGCGTGCAGTTCCAAATGCAAAACCATAGCCCCTCCCTCCCAATTTAAGATGATGGTGATGATCCTTTGAAAATATGAGTCAAGCCTTAAAGAGGCAGAGCTGCTAAAATAAATCTAAGCCAGACTATAAAAAGCTGTAAACTGCTTTGGGCCAGAACTGGATCAAGGAATGTATTCTTTGGTTGCTGTCCGTGGTCCTCAACCCACAAACCTGTGTCTATTGTATGCCTCCATAACCGTCCCCCAAGGTCCTGCTCCTGTCCATTGCAGCCTTGCAGCTTTCAGCTGTCCCGAAGCCTGAGTTGCCTGGTCAGTTTTCAGCTGGGCCAACAGTGGACAACATCCCCACATTTCATCCAAAGGACCAAAAGATGCATCTTCACATGTCCTTTCTGTGCAGCCTGTTGTGTCCCATTTTTTTAAGGGCTGGGAATCCTGGTATGCATTTCCACATCTGTGAACTCCTGGGTGTTCTCCGTTCTCTCTGGGGATGTGGTGATGGGAGATATAACATGCTTTAAGCGGAGGAGCATTGTGAAGAGAAGAATGAGCAGGATGGCTAGCAGGGTCAGGAACAGCCCCACGTACATATACAAGTTAGAATATTTATCTGCGGCTGCTGCTTCTGTAGCCAGTGTTGGGTGTGGGTGAGCACGGCCAGTAAGATTTCCACGGTGTCTAAAAACAAGTTCAGTCATTGCTTACTCAGGTCTTGTCCATTCTCTTCCACTCACTCATAAACACGTTGCTACTTTTTTACACAGTCCCAAAAAGGAGTTCTTGTTGGATTCATACATTGGAGTATGAGATCAATTCTTGGAGGCACTATAAATCTTTACGTTGCATAGGAAAGCTCTTTTCATGGACAGTCATCTTCTCCCAAGGCTTTGCTTGCTCTGTGAAATAGAAGACTCAGATCATCATCATTATCATCATCATCACTCATTTCTCCTTGAAAGAAAAACACACACCTGAGCTTTGCAAGGGATTTTCAGTCAACAGCATTGCACAACTAATGACATATCCACAGAAGGCTTAGTCAATACCAGTATTGGGCTGTTTTTATCAGAAAAGTAAACATTAGTTAAAGTTCAGGGTGAGCAATGACAGCGATGCTTTTTTCAACTTCTAATTTCAAACCTTTGTACCATATTTTATTTCTAAATTGTGCGACAAGAGTTAATTAAGGGACATGTTCTGCAGTGGTTCTCCATTTTCCCACTTCTAATGGACTGCTTCACAATTGCTGACAATTCCAGTTGGCTACTTAATAAACTTGTGCTGTTCTAGTTGCAGCTCCTTCTTCATTCAGTATTAACATCATAAATCAAAAACAGTGCTATATTGTAAAAACTCTGAGTTTTATATTAAGGCTTTCCTTTCTTTGCCCGATGCTCTGAGCCTGTCAACAATCTCAAATCTATTATAAAAACAATACAGAATTATTGTATGGATAGTGAGATATTTGTGAATCATTGGAACGGAGCGAAGTGATTCCCATTGTTTTCTATCAAAGCTGCCCCATTCTGGTATTTTCAATCATCCCGACTATGAATTTGGTAGATGGTGTCCAACTTGTGGTGTGCTGTATTATAGAAGACCCTTGGTGGTAAAAACATATAGATTTAGGCATGGAGTCTCCAAATTTGGCAACTTTAAGACTTGTGGACTTCCAATTCCCAAAATTCCCCAGTCAGCATGACTGGCTGAGGAATTCTGGGAGTTGAAGTCCACCAGTCATAAGGCAGCCTAGGCCTAGACCAGGGGTAGGCAACCTTGGCTCTTTTATGACTGGTGGACTTCAACTCCCAGAATTCCTGAGTCAGCCACGCTGAGGGGAAAGGGAGAGGTTTCCAAGCTGAGCCATGCTGGCTCAGGAATTCTGGGAGTTGAAGTCCACCAGTCATAAGGCGGCCTAGGCCTAGACCAGGGGTAGGCAACCTTGGCTCTTTTATGACTCGTGGACTTCAACTCCCAGAATTCCTGAGTCAGCCACGCTGAGGGGAAAGGGAGAGGTTTCCAAGCTGAGCCATGCTGGCTCAGGAATTCTGGGAGTTGAAGTCCACGAGTCATAAAAGAGCCAAGGTTGCCTACCCATGGTTTAGACAGACGAAAACCTCTCTCTAAATGCTGAAAGGATCACACGAAGAAGACTTCTGTTGCTGTCACTTGGGCAGCTTCTGTTTTTCTGTTTTAATTTCAGGATACCCAAGATTGTCTATTTTTTTGTTTTGCTAACTTTTTGATCATGGGCACAGAGCTAATGAAATATAAGTAGTCCCTGACCTATAACCATTGGTTTAGTGACCATTTGTAGTTACAGCAACGCTGAAAAAAATGACTTGCGACTGGTCCTTCCACTAATGACGGCATCCTCGCACTCACGCGATCAACATTTATTTATGATGCTTACAACATCCCGAGGTCATGAAGTAGCCATTTGGAACATCTTAACCCCCAGAGTAAAGTCAGCTCCAACTCTCCTTACTTTCCATAAGGGCTTTAAGAACTGGCTCTGCTAGGGGCTCTAAAGGAGAGGTTTCACATTGGGGGGTGTTTGATTTGGGGGGGGTTGGGGGAGGGTTGTTAACAACAGATGCCCATCTTCCCTTTTCATCATCCTCCCTCCCTCCCCATTCTTTTTAGCTGGGTTGATTTTTTTTTTAATATAGTATTGTATTTATATTATTAAGTTTTATACAGTTCTATCTTTTAATATTGTAAGTCACCCAGAATTATGGTGTGGTAAGATGGGCAGCAAATAAATAAATAAGTTAAGTAAGTAAGTAAGTAAGTAAATAAGTAAGTAAAGTAAGTAAGAAAACCAACAAATAAATAAATAAATAAATAATTTTGTGATATTCCCTGTCATGTCACTAGGGGTATCATGATAGCAATGTTCCAATATCTCAGGGGCTGCCCCAAAGAAGAAGGAGTTAAGCTATCCTTCAAAGCGCCTGAAGGCAGGACAGGAAGCAACGGATGTAAACTAACCAAGGAGAGAAGCAACTTGGAACTAAGGAGAAACTTCCTGACAGTTAGAACAATTAACCAGTGGAACAACCTGCCTCCAGAAGCGGTGAATGCTCCAACATTGGAAGTTTTTAAGAAGAGACTGGACAGCCATTTGTCGGAAATGGTATAGGGTTTCCTGTCTGGGCAGGGGGTTGGACTAGAAGACCTCCAAGGTCCCTTCCAAATCCATTATTCTGTTTTGTTCCGTTCTAAGCTTCCCACAAGCAAAGTCAATGGAGCAAGTCGTATTTGCTTATCAAGCACGTGGTTTACCTAAACGCTGCTATGATTTATTTAATAACCATAGCACAAAAAGTTTGCAAGATTGGATACTGCTCACTTAACAATTTCTTTGCTTAAGAATGGAAGTTCTGGTCCCAATTGTGGTTGTAAATTAAGGATCACCCTTAACGTCAGTTTTCTTTTTGTTTGTTTGTTTTCCCTTTTTCCAAGCTTAAGTTCATTCCATTCCCTTTCTGCCTGACTATGCTCGAAAACCAAAGCCAAACACCGCCAGCTTATAATCATGAGTATTTGGAAGAGCCGT